AAGAATTGATGAACTCCAAAAAAAAAAAATAAGACCAAAAAGTTGATAAATCTTAGCACACAGAAAGGAAATAAGTAATAATTGAAGTTAACGACGTTCATAGATTCTTGATTAGATTTATTAAGTAACGAAAAAATTTTCTTCGATAGTTACCTTCATAGCTGAGTGGATGTGGGTGATAAATCATTGGCGGAGGTGGATGAGACCATGTGGATGTTGAATTAGTCACTCGATTTATTGTTGGTGTTATAGTCGAATTTGAAAGCATAACTTTTAATATAAAATATATACGATGATGATACGCTAAGGCACGCGGCAACGGATAATTTGCTCGGTTTTTTCACGTTTTTTCGGCCTCTTTCTCTCGCTTAAATCAGCTTCTCCGTTACTACTATCTATAAAAGATGGGGATTGGCGATAGATATTTATTTCTCTCGTTTATAATGATGAGGCACAATCAAGAAAAAAAAATTGAAAATGAAATGTCGTCTTATTCGATAGTTAATAAACTGTGTCCGGATCGGCCTTTTTCATATATAAAGTGCGAAATGTGAGTTTCACGCGTATTAAACATCATCATCAATAGACATAAAGAAAAAGACAATTTACCTAACTAAATGATAGAGAAGAATACACACATCGTCTTTTCTTTTTGCTCATTTTTAATTTTCTCCTGTGTCGCCGATGACACTATTCGATAGATGCAATCTTCATATACGTTTGTATATGTTAGGTTTGTTTTATGTTTCATTCGTTTGACGCTTGTCATATCATTCGGTCTCACCTTTCTCTCATAAATCATTCGAGCGTCAACATCATTATTATCTTCATTATTGATTGCATAGAGAAAAAAAGGAAGAAGAGAGTAAAAAAAATAAAGTGATTGGTTGATGAGAACCAATCATTGTCGAAACCGAAAATATATATTTTTTTCTTATCAATTTTTTTTATCAACCAATTAAATATCGTTTGAGTTTGTCTGTACTGATATAAAATAATTTGAGTTCCGAATGGAAAAATGAGTAAAATAATAATTAGTATCGTTTGTCGCAATTGTAATTGGAATAAGGGAGTCTTTTGCAATAATTTAAAGGACATGTATAATAATATGAGATACAATGGTGGGTTTTTTTTTCACCGTAAAAAACAAAAAGTCAGATAAATTTCAAATATTAACTCGATCTTTTAAAAAAATGATTGTCAACACTTTGCGCATATTAAATATTATTCTTTCATGTGAAATATTCACTGGAATGATCTTTTACTGAAAATTGAAATTACAAAATCAATTCAACTCCTTTTATGTTTATATTGAAACTAAAATAGATGAAGTCGTTCTCCATGACAAAACATTGAAATGATACATCAAATATTTTCGTTTTTTTTTATGAAATTTTGAATAGATTTTTGAATTAATGTCTAAAACTTATTGATTATTATCATTTATTCATATGTGTATATGGTATGCTTCATTTAATTGATTATGTCAAAGAGAAGAGATTTTCCCATAATGAATGATTCTATGCATAGCTTATTAAGATAATCATATGAACAAAAGATATCAATGTTGAGTTTGACAACATATTTAATTATTGAGTAATAGCGGTAGCAAAATGATGAAATTTCTGAACTTTGAACAATCTTTCTAATCAATCTACAAAAGTTTGATTTCATCTATCATTTTCTTCAATTTTTTTTTGCTTCAAATAAATATAAAAGAATGTTATCTGATTTCATATTTGAAGATTATCAATAGATATCTGCTGCTCTCTTAACTTAATAAAAGTAAGAAAATCTATTCAATTTTGTATTTAGATTTGTTCCACAAGAGAAAAATGAAACTAGAAATTTATTTTAACTATCAAGGTAATGAATAATCCAGAATAAATACTGATGTCAACATTTGTTCAATATGTTTTTTTAGTTTTAATATTTTTAACCTAAGTATTTTTACAAAAAAGATTCATCGTGTAATTCTCTACAATACTGGTAACAATAAATGCTATTAGTACAAAAACAAAAAACTATTGAAAAAATATTGCAAAAATGCAATATCAATGATTTACAAAGCACAAATTACAGTTTTCTTGCATTTATGTATTCTCTTGCCACGCTGCTTTGACCAATCAAACGATCCCTTCTTTTTTGTAGAACTTTTAAAGCTCTATCTTTTTAGTATGTCCAAGAATTTTTAAAAGAAAATTCTCTAGTATCAAAATGAGTATTACTTTCTTTTTTTCAAATTTTCAAAAAACACATTCTGCCAACGTAATTTTTCATGTTATTGAGAAGTTCATACCACTGAGTTAAAAAGTATTTTCTACTTTAGAATTTTGTGTTTGTTCAAAAGCTACTGAGTTATACTGCGAGATACGATGGATCAGAGGTCCAAACAGATAATTGAATTTGCCTACCGGCAACAGATAAACATCCCGATTTTCAAGCTTATCATGGACTAGACAGGTCGATTAAAATAGATAAAACACTTGTTTCTCATGTTTTTCCTAAATTTTCGATACAAAATTTCGTTTTTTAAGAAGGACATGTAGTTATTAAAATAAATAGTGAAGCATCTCCTTCAGTTGAAGATGAGAAAAGAATTTCGATTTATTATTTTGACTGGATACAATAATAACTAACTAAAGACTATGATTATCTATATTCGTTGTCCATTCATTCATTTATTTTATTTATCTGTTTCGCTAAGTTATTGTTCGAAATTCCTAATCGATTATTATTAATATCTTACATTAATTGTTGAGTGAATATTATTGTTTCTTAATTTAAATTTATTTTGTCATTATATAACAAGACTTGATATGTTTTCTTCAACTAGTTCATCAAATTCATTCAAAACATTTTTACTCAAAAAAAAACAGACGTTTTTATATTTGTATCATCTCGGTAAACAAATACTATATTCAATCAATAAATACGTCGCAGAATCATGCCATTTCGATATACATGATTGTCTGTCTTTTATAAAGATAGTCTTCCTCTTCTATTCAGTTACAGTCCTAATATTTATATGTACCACAGAAATACACAGACTGTGATAGACGGATGAGGTCAGGTCGACGAAAAATAGATGACAACCGCAGATAGGTTGAAGAGATTCATAGTCTGTCATGAGCAGGCCAAGCCTATTTTTTGTAAGCCCGTTACGATGTCTGATATGAAGATCTGACTTAATTCGGATCGATTAAATGTCATTATCTATTATCTAGGTGCAAGCAATAAGTTCAGCTATGTCAAATTTCGAATCTGTCGTCAGAAAATGCGTTCCTTTGGCAACACTTTCACTTTGAATATTTTTTTCTTCTATTGCATCAGATGAAGTCTAGATGATTGAATCGTATTTAGCACTTTGAAACTGTTGTAGTGTTTTGAACGTTGGTCATATTGCATATTTGTAAATATTACTTGAATAATTTTATTTGCTTGTATCTCTGTGAATTTGATTTGTATACAATTTTGTAGAGAATTGTAAGCGAAATCTTGTTAGACAATGTTTAGTTGTAAATTATCAAATTAGAATGGAATATTGGACCAATACTGACACTACCATGTGTTTTGGGTTACCCAATAATTATGTATTTAACAACGATTCAAATAATATCGTAATAGACATTTCAAAATAGAATTATCGGACTATTTTGCGAATTTCGGAATTTACCATACTTAGAACGATCAATATTAGAAACTTTGTTATCGATAAGTTCTGTATGTATGTATCACAGTTAACGACTGTATCAGTAAATAGAAACTATTCTCTCTCTCATTTTTATTCAATAAGAGTCACCAATCGTGCTTTCTTTCACGTTATAAATATTTTGGAAATGAAATACCAATTTTATACTATTCTTTATGTAAATCTCTATAGTTTATTTCTTACAATATCGCTGCAACACCAATCATGAATTTCCTTTTTATAGAAAAGACAGTTTAAGTTAGCCTACACTCATTCGATTGAGTCAGTGTATTTATTGCATGAAAATACCTTTGGTAATTTCCATACTTCACAACACCTTGCTGTTCGATTTGGATAATTTTATGGCACCTAGCATGTACTAAAGATCTTTAATATATAAACAATTTTTGCAAAGTTATAATAATTCTCATTTGAGTAATGTAATAGTACTCATTGATTGATTGAAAGATGATTAGAAGTTGATTGATGCATGAGTTTCATGAAAATCCGAAGACATAGCATCTTCACTAGATGGATATAGTTGTTCTCGAATGTTTTTTAAAATCACTTAAATTGATCAAATGATAATATCCTTAGCCGGCTCACTCTTTCTATAATTCATTCGTACCAAGAGTCTAGACTGTTAATCAACGAATATATTAGTTGACTATCTTCTTAAGTATACTTGGCGTTTCAAAAAATTAATAAAACATATTTTTTCTATCCTTTTTGATTTTGTTTTAGTATGTCTTCTTGTATTTATATTTATTTACCAATGAGCGATTCTGTGATTTAGTATATGATATAAACTTTTATTGTAAATTTTTTTTCCTGTAATAAATATTTTGTTTTTGTTTTCGTTAAGAAAATTTTCTATTAATATTAATACTAAACAATAAAATTCGAACGAATATTGGTTTCTTTTTAACAAGAATTGATCATTTATTGATTTTAGTAAGCATCGCATGTATTCCTTTGTTACAATAATTTATTTCTCGTTTTGAAAAACACGCATTTTGCCGTACTAACTTTTGAAGTAGCCTGTCCATAACATCTTTCTGCTCTAAAATTTTCTGTCATATTTTCATATATGTATGTTTACATATATTTCATGGATAGATAGTATCTACGCATTAATCACCATTGGAGTATTCTGACGTGTATTATTATTGCTTTTTTAAGTGTATGTGATTGAAGTCTGTGACGTATTGACATTGAATCATACGGCTTCTTATATATAAAGGAAAACAAACGAAACCTACCTTGTTTTTTTTTCACATAGTATTCAAAATATCATACAATCATTACCATGCATCTGTTTCTTGGTTGGCGTGAAATGGAAGATCAAATTGGTACATTAGGATACTCAATTGAAAATTATCTATGGGGAGACGCTCGTGCTCGTCATACATTTTTAATAGCATGTACTGATGAACATCCTTTAGTATTTATTGAAATCGATGTTGGTAATCCTGAAAAAGGTATTCATAAAAGTATGAAATTAAATATTAAAGAATTAGATGAAATACCTAATACAATATCTAAAATTGAATTCATTGGTGAAACATCATCACCAATAGCATTACCACATCTTATTAAATCAGCATATGATTATGTAAAAGAACATCCAAACTATCATGTATTATTAAATAACTGTCGAACATTTGTTGAATATCTTATTGATCAAATACCAGAATTTCGCGATTCTATACCACGTAGAAATGGTTCTATACTTGAATATTATCATGCACAAGCGAAAAATGAACATCCAGGAGCTTTACTGAGAAGTAAAAGATTTTTGAAAGATATTCATGATTTCCATCGACGCAACAGAGAATATAAATATGCTAGTCTATTAGTATTACACATGGAATTACCTAAACTAGATAATGATAATGATGTTCGAATTATTGAAACACGACTTTGATTATGAAAACTGTTGTATGAACATTGCAAAGTATTCATTCTGTTTTAATTTTCTGTTGATTAGAAGTAGATTTTAACTAATATTAAAATATATTCGAATTTAGAAACCTAAATTATATTTTTGACTAAAAAATCTCTATGTTGTTACATGCTAGAATTATGAATTGATTTGAAGTTGTTTTTCTTTTTTAATGCATTTGGAAGAACTCTGTTCTTATGATAGGTAGTAATTCAAGTAGGAAAAAGCAATAATGAATAGTTGGTCATATGAAATGCAAGAAGAATTCAACAATACTTTCAAAAGTCTGATAGTACATATGTATGATTCTAGTTTCGTATTGCACACTAGAAATGAAGGTTAAAGTAGAAAACATTTAATATCTGAGATAAAAATATATTTTCGATAATCAAGTTCTGACAGTAGAGAAAAATTTGGAAACAAAGTTGACAATGTATCTAAATCGCTTTTTGCTGATGAAATGATGTTTCTTTGTTTCTAAAATCACAATATGCTTTCCTTTATTTTGATTAGTGTTTCACTCTTTGCAAGAAATAGTGAAGTTGAAAAAAGAAATGAAAGTTTCGCCTAACAAGTATACTTTGCTTGAATACTTGAAGAAAACAATTTACATAAGTATTAACAGGTACTTGTAAGAGTTGTTTCTTCTCTATTTCTTTGTGTCAATAATCTAGAAAGTTAATTAATGAACATATTGGCTGACTATCTTCTTAAGTATACCTAATCTTTGAAAAAAATCAATAAAAGATATTTTTATTATGCTTTTTGATTTTGTTTTGGCATGTCTTCTTGAGTTTTCATTTATTTATCGAGAAGCTATTTTATGATTTAGCATATCATATAAACTTCTGTTTGTTGTTTTTCCATGAAATAAATTTTTTATTATTTTGTTCTGTTAAAGAATTCTTTGTTCAAAGCTAATGTTAAGCTATAAAAATGAATTGGCGTTAGTTTTTTCTTTACAAGAATTAGTCGTTTATTGGTTTTAGTAAGCATGGCATGTACTCCCTTCTTATCGTATTTTATTCTTTGATTTGGAAACAGGAATATCGTTGTACTGACTTTTGCAGTAGACTTTCGATAGCACTTATCTTCTTTAAATGCAGTCTATATACTGATTGCTGTGATTAATATGCCGAAATATCACTATGTCAAGGTGACATTTCTACTTAATGTAAGCAAATGCCCTTCACACAGTTATTGGAAGTCTACGACGAAAGTCAATATGGTGAAATTCATGTCATCGCTTGTTTTACTCATTTTTCACTAGAAAACGAGTTAAGACAAAAGATTGCTTTAACTTTATTTTTGTTCGTGTATCCTTCTTCTTATGTTATCCAATAATATACAAATGGAAAATGCTTACAATCATGATTTCTTTTCTGTCATATTTTCGTATGTGTATGTTTGCATATATTTCATAGAGGAATAGTATCTATGCACAAATCATGGTTAGCCTACTTTTACGTGTGACATTATTGCTCATCTATGTACATGTTATTCAAATATACTGACGTATTGACGCTGAGTCATACATCTCCTTATATATAAAGGAAAACGAAAGAAACCTACGTTGTTTTTTCACACACGATCGTAAGCATCAAACCATTCTTACTATGCATCTGTTGCTTTGTTGGCGTGAAATGGAAGATCGAATTGGTACATTAGGATACTCAATCGAAACTTATCTATGGGGAGACGCTCGTGCTCGTCATACATTTTTAATAGCAT